GGGGGGGGGGGGGGGGGGAGAAAATTGGGAGAGGAAAAAAAGTGGAGAACTGGTTTACTGGTCTACTTCTTTCGACCAGCCCGCATGATCTAAACTACAAATTTTAGGACTAGTGCTTTAGCGCTTCTGTCAGCTGGCCCCGGGCCCCCACGGCTGCCTCCCTCCTCCTTCCCCCCGCAGGAAGAGGGAGAAAATAGCCGAGCCTTGTTGCGTGTCTCAAACTCAGGTTCGCGGTGTTGAAGAAAGTTTCCTTCCCCCTGTGCTGGAGAGGCGGGGGAGGAGACTGGGAGGGGGAGACCAGCAGTGGCGGGGCTGCGAAGCCAGGAGGGTTTTTCACCAGAAAGCATCGCAGTTTTAGTGCTTTACTTCTTTGTAACTTGCTGTAGGGAAAAAAAAAATAAAAAAGAGAAAAAGAAAATATAAAGAAAGAAAAGAAAAGAAAAGAAAAAAGAAAAGGAGGTCAGGGAGGAAAAAAAAATAAACAACCCCGTGGTAAAGTCAAGCGGCTGGGGCTTGGCTGGGACGAGTGCGGTCGCGGCGGCGCTTGGGGACACGACGGCGGCGGCAAGGGGATGGCGCGGGTGTGCGGAGGAAGTGGCCGATGCCTTGGGTCCGACTCCACTCCGGACAGAGCTCTTCCCAGCAGGGCCCCAGCCATCCTCCGAACGCCCGCGGCAGCCGCGCATGCCCTGCGCTCCCGCCCGCGCAGCGCTGCGCGCCCGGCAGGATGCCCGGGGCGGGCGTGGGAGGCGGAGGAGGAGGGCCGGGGGTGGCCGAGGCCGGTGTGGAGGGAGCGGGTTCCCCCCCCGTCTCGCCGCGGGGAGCCGGCGGAGGCTGCGCGGAGCCGCCGCCCGGCTGCGGGAGCCCCGGGGGGAGCCGCAGGGGCCCGTCGGGCCGGCGCCGCTGCCCGGCCCGTCCCGCGGGCGGGATGCCGCCCCGGCGGCGCAGGCTGCGCGGAGCGGAGCGGAGGCTGTCCCGAACTTAACGACTGCGTCTCTCTCCCGCTCTTGCGCCCGTGCAGAGAAGGAGGTGGCGGAACCCGAGGTGCGGATGGTGAACGGAAAACCAAAGAAAGTGCGCAAACCCCGGACTATTTATTCCAGCTTTCAGCTGGCAGCGTTGCAGAGGAGGTTTCAGAAGACCCAGTACCTCGCCCTGCCCGAGCGGGCCGAGCTGGCAGCCTCCCTGGGACTCACGCAAACACAGGTACGGCGAGCGGCTCGGCTCGGCTCGGCTCGGCCCGGCGCGGCGGGAAGGGCTGGATCGGTCCCCGCGGAGGGGCGGGAGGGCGGCGGGGCGCCGCAGCCGCGAAGCACCGGCTTGCCAGGCGGGCATTAATCGTGTCGCTTTCCCCCCCCACTTCCCCTTTCCTCCCTTCTCTCCTCCCGCCCCGCTCCCAGGTGAAAATCTGGTTTCAGAATAAAAGATCCAAGATCAAGAAGATCATGAAAAACGGGGAGATGCCTCCGGAGCACAGCCCCAGCTCCAGCGACCCCATGGCCTGCAACTCTCCACAATCACCTGCGGTTTGGGAACCTCAGGGCTCGTCCCGCTCCCTCAGCCACCATGCCCACGCACACGCTCACCCTCCAAACTCCAACCCGTCCCCTGCATCCAGCTACCTGGAGAGCTCCACTTCCTGGTACCCCGCTGCCAACTCCATCAACTCCCATCTCCAACCCCACGGCTCCCTACAGCACCCGTTAGCGCTGGCCTCTGGGACGATTTATTAGAGCCTGACCCTTATTATTTTTTGTTGTTGTTGTTGTTCCTTGGACTCCTGTGTTTTACTGTTAAGGAATAATAACGAAAGGAATGCATATGGGAATTTTTAAAAGGGAAAAGAAACAAAAAAGATTAAAATGTGTAAAGCTTGTGCATGTAACTTATTGCATTTCAAAGGAAACCCTTTTTTATACAATACGGACTTTTTTTGGCTCAGCTGTGGACACTATCATTGGTGCCTTGAAATCTATGACCTCAACTTTTCCAGAGACTTTTTTCAATGTTATTTTAACCCTGTAAATAATTGTAGATAGAGGAATTAAACTGTATATTCTGAATAAAATAAAATTATTTCGACCAAGAGAAATGTTTCCAAATTACCCCGTCTTCTATTAATAAGGGGAAAAAATATAATACTAATTTGCTTTCAGAAAGAAAGTGAGGAAAGAGGATGGCAGCTGGGAGTTCACATTCTGTTCCAGTGCCGTGCAGTGCCACCACAGTCCAGGCATGCTGGCAGGATCTGGCCCTTGCAGGTACCCACGGGCGAGCCGAGGGGCGGCGGTCTCTCTCCCTGCTGGGAAAGGGGCTCCGGCAAGACCAACATCTTATTGCACAGTGCTTTAAGCTGGAGGGAAAGCTGCCCATCCTGATGCGAGAAAGCGAATCTCTCGCCTTAAGCCGCCCTGAATCCTTTCCTGAGAGCAATTAGCGTCGAGAGCTGCACACTCCACAGCCCATCAGTCGCCCGTGTGCGCTCGGCTAATTATACAAATTACGTTTCCGTCAAAGGGAGCCACTAAATAAGAGAAAAGAATAAAATGAGAGCCCCGCTCCCCTCGCTCCTGCTAAAAGCTTGCGGCGGCTTCGACTGAAGGAGGATCGTTTCAGAGGTACTTTTATTGTTTTTGTTTCGTTTCTATACCATTTAGGGAAAAATCCTTGCGTCAAAGCAGTCGCTAGCGCTGCCCATTGCTGGAGGCACGGCTTGGGCGAGATGGCCGGAGTGCTGCCCACTGGCGCCGACCACTCGCACGGAGCCCAGTAGAGAGCAGGGCCCCCGCGGCGGCGGGGACCCCCATCCTAGGGGGCAGCGGTAATTCACAGCCGTGTGGGGTCCGGTGACAGCAGTGAACGTGCCAAAAGCATCGCTGGAAGGATCCCCGAGATGAAAGATGCCCCTCTGGCAACTGAGGCTGGCGGGGAGAGTGCTGGAAGGGGGGGAAGTCGAGGCCTGAAAAGGCACGCTCCTGCCCTGGGGCACACTTACCTATCTCCAGTCTTCCTTCCCGCTGCCCTCCCCCTCCTTTTTTCTCCTTCCTCTCCTGCCTGCCATGTTTTGTACGTGTGCGTGAGTGTGTGTGGTTTGAGCAGTTTTCTCCCCGAAGAAAGAAGCCCGCGTTTGCTGTTTTGTAGCAGGTTTGGGGGCTGGTAAATGTCTTGCAGTACAATAGGCCAGTTTGTTCAGCTGTGCGCTCCCTGCACGCCGGGGAGGGTGCGGGGTGCCGGAGGCAGGGTGGCGGGGGCCCCGCAGCTGCCCGCCCCTGCCCGCTGCCGGGGAGCGGCCGCCCTGCCGCGGTGCCCCGCCGTTCCCCATCTCTGCCGCCGTTCGGGTGACCGTCTCCTTCTCATATAACTCGCAAGGTTTCAGGGGCTTCCCACGACTCTGGGGCTGACGAAAAGCTCGGCTTCATCTCTTCTGCTCACTTCCATCCTCTGCAAAAAAAATTTTTAAAACTTGACCCTTTCATTTTCTTCCGCTCTTTTCCTCATTTCCCTCTAGACAAGCATTCAACCTGCAGTAAGAAATTCTCCCTCCCGGAGGTCACTTCCCTTTGCAGAAAGGTTTGAACACAAGAGGTGGAAGTAAATTTCCCAGGTGGGTTCACCCACCCCTTTCTTTGAGGAGCTGCCGCGGGGCTGTTGGGTTACGATAACCTGCCGGGGCCGGGACGGCCGGATGGACAGCGCAGAAACAGCTCGGGAAAGGCGGAATGCCGGCAAGCAGCATACCGGGCAGAAATGGGAATTCACACCGCTGCCGCTGGACTAGGCATCGCTCGCTTCTCCAAGCCAGTCGAGTCAGCTCGGCTTGGTTTCCATGCCGGTCCCCCTCCCTGCTTAATTTCTCCTCCTCCCAAAGCGGGTTGGTGTTGGGCAGGTCGAGAGAAGCCTGGCATCCCTCCCCTAGAGAGGATAAGAAATGCCCTTGCCAGGGCTCCCCGTCGCGTGTCCCCGACCTCGATGAACATTCAGAGTCTACGGCCGCCCGCCCCTCCGGGAGCGCCCCGGGCCGAGGGGGATGCTCGTGTCCCCTCTGTCCCCGCACACACAGGCAGGCACACCCCGGCACCTCTTCCCGCCTGGGTGCACCCCCTGGGCTCCGGCGGCGGCCGCAGGGAGCCTAGCTTGGCCAGGCCTCCCCCCTTTCTTCCCCGGGAAAGGGATGGCATGAACTGTCCTTTGTCTGATGCTGGGTTTGGACTCGGCGGATTGCTGGCTCGGGGCTTTCCCCGCCCCTCCCCCTCTTCCCCTCCCTTCTGTTTTCCTGGCGGCCACTTCCATGTGGAGCCGGGGCAGTTCGGGGAGCCGAGAGGAGCCACATTCCTGTGGGTGCCGAGTGGCTCCAGGGCTGAGCCACAGGGCCTGACACACACACACACACACACACACACACAGACGCGCAGACACACAGATACACACGCACAGAGCAGCCTACAGCCCCCGCTGCCCCAGATCGAGAGCTCCTGACACTGCCTGTCCCCCTTGGGGCTCTCACACCCACAGCACATCCACCTCCGGCTGCGCTCGCCCCCGGCTGGGACGCATACCGACATCACCCACACCCAGGCACACATAGTGCCCGCCGTCCCCACCTACGGCCGCGGGAAGAACACCTTCCCGCTTCCCCCGAGCTCCCCGCTCCTGCCCGGGCATCTGCCCGCACGGCCCGCGGGCAGAGCCCTCCGCCGGGAAGTGCTGTCTCATCGCCGAGAGCCTCGGTTTCCCTCCCGCTCCTTCCCGGGGAAAGAAAAGACACCCCCTCCAACCTGTCACCGCGGCAGGGCAGCCCATTTGTCAGGCGTTCCTGTCGCCCTCTTACTCCCCTCGGTCTCCCCCGTGCATTCGCTCCCCGCGGCCGCGCTGCCTGCGCGGGCCTCCGCGCTCTGCCCGCTCCACCGCCGGCAGCGCTGTGTCCCCAGAGTGCATCCCACATGTGGCATCAATTAAAGATTTCTGCCACGCAATTTTGCGACTGACAGACTTTAGGTGTTTCGGTTGTGGATTAAGGAAAGGAGATCTATTGCTTCAGGAAAATCGGGGCGGGGGGGGGGGGGGGGGGGGGGGGGGGGGGGGGGGGGGGGGGGGGGGGGGGGGGGGGGGTGTGGGAACCCCCTCGTCTTGCTTTCAGCATTTAAGCGACTGCTTGCAGTAACTCAATAACCTGTTTTATAGGTCAGATAAGAGCCGTGAAAATAGGAAACGCGAAGTTTACATTAAGCCTCTCTTTCTCTTTTTTTAGGGAGAATCTGTATGGCATCAGTTAAATAGTTCTCTTTGTTCCGTGGTGTGTCTATTTATATGCGATTCAGGGACGATGATAAACAATAGTTTATCTGCCTGGAATACAGACCTGATAAATCCTGCCACATACCCACACCCCGGTTGTCTGTGAGAGCACCTTCCACTTAGGCGACCTTCCAAGCCGCGGGTAAAACTCACGGTTCCCTCACCTCCTTAATCACCTTCAGGTGTGGGCCCAGAGTGCCGGCCTCGGCCAGAACCTGCGACGGATTGGGCATTTGGCGAAGAAGAGCTTGGGGGCGGCTTCTCGCTCCTCTCCTGCTGCCACCTGCCCCTCGGCACTCCCGGAGAGGCTGTCCAAACCTCAGCCTGGGTTTTGCAGGATGGCTCAGCCAGCCTCTCCGGGACGGATGCTGACCCGGCTTCGCGCTCCGCAGCGGCATCATCTGCCTAGTTGCGGAGCTGGCCCTCCATTCCAGGAGATCCTTACGGTCTCATCGATACACAGCGCATAATGCGTTTTATAGGGTTTTCACCTCGCACTATCCACTGAGCTTTCTTTTATTCTCCTGGTTTTTACTAATGCGCATGGAGAAAAGGGCGCAGAGTAAGACTGCAGGCTGTCAGGAGCGGCTGCGGTCGGGAGAGGCCAGCAAGGGCCGGGGCGGCAGCCATCCTGCCCATGGGGCCGGTCCCGGACTCCTTCTTCTTATCTGGACCCTGCGGTGACACACCGGAGACCAACCGGTCCGGCGGCAACCGCGCTTTGATGATTTAGGTCATTAAAAAATTAAGCGGGTTTGTGTATTTCAAGTCCAGGGTTAATAAAAGTTAATCAGGAGTCGAAAGCCAACTAGCCCAGTGAGTTAACCTCGCTAGCTGCAGGTAGTCCTGTTAGCTAGGCTCTTTTGATTAATTAGTTACAATTGAGTCGGTTCTGTGATAATTTCCCTAAGGACCCCTGAGGACCGGTCCAGCGGGCGCGCGGGAGCGCAAAAGGCCGCCGGCTCCACAGCCCGCCGCGGAGCGCCCGGCGCTGGCATCCCGCATCCCGCACCCCGCGCTGGCATCCCGCACCCCGCGCTCTCCTCCGCCCGGCTCCGAAGCTCCCGCGGCTTCTTGCCCGAAAGTGACGTTCAGTCACCTGAGAGGAGGCACAAGACAATGGCGAGCCCTCTTTTGGGGATGGGTGGGGAGCTCGGGGATGCTTCGGGTGCTGGGGAGAGGCTGCCGGGAAGAGCCGAGCCGACAGGAGGATTGATGCAAGGCGGGAGCCGAACCAGCAGCCCCTGACTGCACATCAGGCTCGCAGTCGTTGAGATTTGGACACGTAACGCTGCAGACCACTGATTTGCTATTTTCTTAATTCCCGCTCTTCTCATTCCCTATGAATCAAACAGTCTTTTGTCCTTCAGAGTTTGATTTGATCGCTACTGTTCACATTTCACTTTTGTATTTTTCCCTCCCTATACCATTACTCATTGAGTGCCCCGTGAAATTACAATCGTACATTTTCAACTCAGCAACCCATTTGCAGTGCAAAAATAGGGTCTAAATAATGGCTGAATTAGCCCTACTGGACAGTTTCAGATGTAACACTCTGTAATAATTATATTGCAGGCTGGATTAGGATGCTATTATCATAATCTGGACGTTTACAATTATCTGTAATTTGCAAAGATGCGCCAGGTCTTGATTACAGCAGGTTTTTTTTATCAAGCTAACCATCACTAAACAGTGACAGTAATAACAGCTAATTTTGCTGGCAATATAAGAGGTGCTGGGGTGTGCAAACAATTTCACACCTGGATGTGCTCACTCAACCAAGAATATAGAGAAAGA